TGTGTGTGCGTGGTTGTGCCTGTGGGTGTATGTGTGTGTGTGAACGTATGTGTGCACGTCACATGTGATCGACAATGCAGGTCCATGAGGGTTTTTTCTCACCTACTTTGGGATCGGTAACGCAGGTCCATGAGGGCTACCGGTAACACAATGGGAGGAACTGTCTGAGTGGCAAAATTGGAAAATGCATCGAATTGCCCCCACGATTTATTTCGCGGTTGAAGTTATTTTATTATTTTTTTAAATATGTTTCCTAAAAAGATCACGACCAAATCTACATACCCTCCAATTTCCAGACTTCATGGATATATTGTACTAGACGAAAAAATTGTTGAAGTCGGGGTACTTCTCCCGTTGGCGGACACATAATAGAGCAGCAAAAGCAACAAAATAGAATATAGAACGAATTAACGCGGAATTTATTTCAAGATTTTAATATTGTTTTCTTAATTTTTAAATATTTTTTGTGAAAAGATCACAACCAAATCTACACGCCCTTCAATTTTCAGAGTTGTGGAGTTATCCTTTCTAAGTGCAAAACATCGCGGAAGTTGGGCATATGTTTCCTGTTGGCGAACACGTGCCAAAATGGCAAAAATGAAAAATGCAATGAAACGATGCGCTGTGTTACCGCGCGTTTCGCGTTCAGGGTATGAACGCGGTGAACGCGCGTTCACTGGACGCACGTGAACGCGTTTGACGCGTTTGCGCAGGGGGTTGTGCGGGGTGGGGGGGGTCTTTGGGCAGTGTGGGGAGTGGCAGCGGTGCTTGAGGGGACTAAGGGCAATGTGGGGAGCGGCGGCGATGCTTGGGGGGGGGGGCTGTGGGCCAATTCCCTAGCAAAACGAGCAGAAAAAAGAAAAAAGAAAAAAAAGTGTGTGCGTGAAAATGTGCATCTGTGTGTGTGTGAATGTGTGTGTGTGAACGTGTGTGTGTGTGTATGTGAAATTCCCCTAACACGACTCACACGGCCCATGCAGGCTATCTGAAGGGTCCTCGTAGCCATGTAGTGCAGACCCCCCCACCAAAGTCAAGGCAGGCAGGGAATATGAAGTAGAGCTCGAGCTGCCCGAATATATACTCAAGATTCGAATTCAGGTCTGTGTTTCAGCAGTTATGGGTTGCTCACGTAGCTAGGGTCTGCTAGTCTCTGCACGTGACTCTTAGGGCCTTCACCAAATGTGCAACACTAGAATGAATCTTCTGCAGAACATGGAATAATACGTCGCCATATGTTTTGTTTTTTTCTTGTGTTTTTTTTCTCGTTTTTCTTTTTTCTCATTTTTCTTTTTTCTCGTTTTTCTTTTTTTTCTCGTTTTTCTTTTCTTCGGAATACGTGCAGTGGCCCTAAGGGCCTCTACTCACCACATGCACAAAAGACAAAACATATGGCGGCGTATTATTCCATGTTCTGCAGAAGATTTATTCTAGTTTTGCACATTTGGTGAGTAATGCAGTCAGGCCCTAAGAGTCACGTGCAGAGACCAGCAGGCCCTAGCTACGTGAGCAACCCATAACTGCTGAAACACAGACCTGAAGTCGAATCTTGAGTATAAATTCAAGCAGCTCGAGCTCTATTTCATATTCACTGCCTACCTTGATTTTGGTGGGGGGGGTCTGCGCTACATGGCTGCGAGGACCCTTCATATAGCCTGCATGGGCCTTCTGAGTCGTGTTAGGGGGATTCCCCCGCCCGCCCCCCCCCAAAAAAGGACCTTTTGCATATGGTGGGGGGTGACATGGTAGGGGGGGTAGGCCTCGGGCTTTTTTTTTTTTTGCACTTTCGGGGTTCCTTGAACGAGGCCCACCACCTCGTAGTCCGTAACATGCGCGAGCGCCCCATGGGGTCATGTTCAATTTTTTCGCGCCACGTGGTGAGCAATGTGTTTGAACGCGTTTGAACGCGGCCCCGGGGGGTATGAACGTGCGCGTTTGAACGTGAACGCGAGTTCAGCCGGTTACACAGACGGCGCGGTATTTATTTCATGGTCTAGATTGTTTTTTCTCTTTTTTTTTTATATTGTTCCTGGAAATATCACAACCCAATCTACAAGATTTTTATTTTTTATGTTTTTTCTTCAATTTGTGTGAGCGCAAAAAATCGCAAGAGTTTGCGCTTGAAAATAGTGGGACTGGACCTGCCTGCCACACTGTGCAACGTTAGGGTTTCGACACACAGGCACTTCCATACCAGCCAACTGCGTGACGTTGGATACACTTAAAAAAAAAACAGTCCCCAAAAACGTGCACGGACCCTATCGACCTGAGTGATTATCAGATCAGGCAGTTGCGTATCTTTAATCCGTGCGAGGGTCCAAACCCCGACGACAGCAATTGCCATCAAACTTCAAAATCTTAATAGGGGGGGGGGGGGGGGGGGGGGGGGGGGGTGCATGCGGTGCGGGCACGCAGACAGCTGTCACTCCCCGCGACACAAAAAACCAACAACACGGGCAAAAGAAAAAAATTGAAAACGAAACAACAAACTCCCCCCCCATTCCCGCCAAGGGCAAAAGAAAAAAAAAGTTCAAAACCAAATGACGGACTGCCCAAAAGCAATAATAAAAATAATAAAAGCAAAACAACACACTCACTGCCCACGCCACGAAAACGGAAAAAAAAAAAAACTTGAAAAGCAAACCACTTAACGACGGCGCCCGCTTCAAGATATTCCCTCCTATCTACGCCCGCCGCGGCCTGGCCCCATTGGCGCGCCCACTCGTTTAATGGTGCGTTGTGAACCATTCGGTACGCTCATCGCTGTACACACGCCTCGCCCTCGATCACCTTCATCCGCCAGCCATTGCTGAAAGTTCGATCGGATTTCGGAATGCGGTGGACCACCGACCTCCCCCCGCGGCCAATGCTCCTTAAGGGGGATATATATCTTATATATTTAAAGTGAAAAAAAAGAATCACATAATAACTTAATAAGTATTAATAACAAGAGAATTATTCTCTATCTACATTTCATACACGTTTTTTTTAATTCTATAAATTAAATATCTAATAATTTTCTAATATAGTTTTTTTTTTTTTTTAATACCAGAAACATTAGTTTTATTAGGGCCTAGTGCCCAAAGCAAAAATACAATGTCAAAGAACTGGAGAATCAGGCGTCGCAAGGTCTCTAATCCCGCTTCGTCAGGTGGAACCCCTCCCCTATAGAAAACCATTGTCTTCGAGAAGAGAAAAGACTACCCAATCCCCGATTCCTGCTCTCCAAAAGCACCAAAAAAGTCTGCAACGAAAATCCTACTTAGGGTTCTGACTAGCGCCAAAAGTTTTGTAAAAATCACGACAACAGAAATTTGTAATTAAGGTTTCTATTAATTCCTAGGTCCCACTACCAACCCTACTGCTTCGTCGGGTGGAGCCCCTCCCCTATAGAAAACCACTATCTTCCAAAAGAGAAAACACTACCAATTCCCCGATTCCCGCGCTCCAAAAACACCAAAAAAAATGCGCAACGAAAATCCTACTTAGGGTTTCGACTAGGGCCAAAAGTTTCGTAAAAATCACGACAACAGAAATTTGTAATTAAGGTTTCTATCAATTCCTAGGTCCCACTACCAACCCTACTGCTTCGTCGGGTGGAGCCCCTCCCCTATAGAAAACCACTGTCTTCCAAAACAGAAAACACTACCAAATCCCCGATTCCCACTCTTTAAAAACACCAAAAAAAATCCGCAATGAAAATCCTACTTAGGGTTTCGACTAGCGGCACAAGTTTCGTACAAATCACGGCAACAAAAATTCCTAATTGAGGTTTCTACTTATTCATAGGTCCCGCTACCAACCCCAACCCTAATAAACCCGAAATCCCCAAACTACATGTAAGCCAGTTTTTATTCTTGCCTAAAATGGCAATCGTAAGCCRAAACGAGCATTCCAAAGTCTATTAACCTCATAAAATGAAACAAGATATAAAAACCACTCGTCTTCAGCAAGTCAGCACATAGTTTTCCTTGGCAAAGGAACAAGACGTACGGGAAACCAGAATTTCCCTGGCCAAGCGACTCAGTGTACAGGAAAACCAATCCGTGCTAATCAAGGAAACTCCCAGCCGTCTCAATGGAAAAAAAAACTTGGCAAATAAAACTCCATATTAAATTTTGAGAAGCGGCAATCCAAAGTCCACTCGTCTTCAGCAAGTCAGCACATAGTTTTCCTCGGCAAAGGAAGAAGAGGTACGAGAAACCTTGGCAGTATCAATGTGTTGTTTGAGAAACAAAGCTCCATATCTGAGACCAGCAGCGCCAATCGCGCCCTGATCTTGGTTGCATATAGCGTATAAYAGGAGAGATGCACCAGCGCTCCAAATCATCCATTTATCACACGCAACGCACCACACCCTCCGCCAGCAGGCACTTCTTCTCCTCGGGGCATGCTGGACAAGCTCCACATCCACAACGCATAAACATGGTTGCCATGGGCCACTAGAGCCGACTAGGTATGGTGGCCTTAGCCTGGGCACAATCCTAGCTCTAGCGCCAACAACTTCGGGCACTCCGCGCTAGGCTGCCCAGCGATGCGCCGCTGCTTATTTCCACTTGCTGGCTGTCTCCTGCTGGTAGATTAACATTCAGTCCTCCAACCCCACCTTGACTCCTACCATCTTGCCTAACTTTCCTTCACCCAACTTTGTGGTGGTCTCTCTCTCTCTCTCTCTCTCTCTCTCTCTCTCTCTCTCTCT